ACAGGGGTTCCAGCACGGGATCACAGTGGAGGGATGCTCTCCCTGCCCCCAAACCAAAGCTGCTTCACCCTCTGGAACAGGCTCTGCCCAGCCCAGGCTGCAGGACACAGGGCTGGAGGTTGCACAGAGCTGTTTGCTTCCACTCAGGAAACCAAATTCCCATTATTCTTGTGCACTCCCAGTGAAAGAAGTCACTTCCCATATAGCAGCATCTGACTTCATCCTCCAGCTTGACCTGGGTGCATCCCAGCCCTTGGGGACATCTCATAGGGACTTTTCCTCCTGGTTCCACCACCACCATCCCTGCAAAGGATCCCTGCTCTCCTCTCCCTGCCTGGAGATTCCTTCATCAATCAGAACAATGTTCACCACAGCTGTAAACCTCTCAAATGTGGAATTGGGTCCAAGGATTTACTGGTGAAATTGGTAAGGAGCCAGTGTGGGAAGCTCCAGTGCCAGCTTCCAGCACTGCCATGGGTCATGGTGAGGCTTTGCCTCGGGACCAGGACACGATGCTGCCCATGAGGAGCTGGGACAGGCACCATAACCCTCAATGGAACTGGGTTTAAATATGAAAATTCATCCAAGGCTGAGAACTTTCTAGAAAACTGGATTTATGTATATCTGACCTGGGTTATTCTGAAGAGCTGGTAAAAGTGAGGAATCAGCTGGAGATAAAGCTGCTTTGAGAGAATATTTTTATCTAACCTGGCTTTGAAAGCTATCACGGAAAAATAGGGGTTTCAATGTGTAATTTGAAGTTCTCATTTCCACTAAAGGAGACTGTAGGAATTTTTTTTTTTTCAAGGAATCACTCCTGGTAGGAGCTCATCCCCTCCACTGTCTTAAACTAGAGCTTTAAACTTGAAAGAATAAATGTAATTCAAAATATGCACACCCTGGTGCTGGGAAAGCAGACACCTGGAGAAAACATGAGCAGAGTTATAACAGATTCTACCCCTTCTATATTACACTTTCCTTTAAATATAAATACTTCCTTATCATTAACAAAGGCATCACCTGGGAGGTTGAGCCTCTCACTCTGCTCACCTCCCACAGTCCATGGGCCTCACAACATCCTGACCTTCTCTATGTCCCAGCACACCTGGAGACCCCTCCTGGCCTCCCCTCTCACACCTGTGCCTCCTGGGCAATCTGCTCCAGGGCCCTCTGCTCTCCTGCTCTCAGCTCTGTGGTTTCCTGCTGCCTCAGCTCCCACAGTCTCCAGCTCTCCTGGAGCCCCTTTAGGCTCTGAGCTCTCCCTGGAGCCTTTTCCTCTGCAGGTGAGCACCCCCAGCTGTCCCAGCCTGGCTCCATGGCTGCTCCAGCCCCTGGTGCTCACTCCACAGCTCCACATCCCGTTTCTGGATGCTCCACTGCTCCAGGTGAAGGTTCTGCACTTACCTTGGGGCAGCACCAGCACATCCTCCCCTGGCTCCAGGGCTGGCAATGCCCCCAGCTCTGTGCCCCCAGCTCTGTGCCCCCTCTGCCCAAACTTCCCAGCAGGGACAGGGAATTCAGGAGAAGGAAAACCTTCAGCAGCAGCCAGGGCCTCCCCAGGCTGCCCCTTCCAGCAGGGAGCTCCTGGGGACACGTGGATCCAGTCCAGCTCTGGTGCCCTACAGACCTTCAGGTGCCACCTCCAGGAACCCCTGGCCATGGCATTTACACAGAGATTCAGAACCTTATTTAAAAACAGGACAGAATTAGTGAACACGTGCCACCAGTGTTGCAATTAGGGCATCCCTGGAGGATCAAGAGGCATCAATTATTCAAATGAGAAGGATTTTAGGGCCATGCCTGTGCTAGTGAGAGCAGGAGCTCACCCTGTGTGGCCCCAGGAGCCCCAGCTGGCTCAGGAGATCACTCACCTCACACCCAGGCAAAGCCAGGGCTGGCACAGGGCTGCTCCTCCTGTCACTGTGTGGTGTCTCAAAAATTGGGGAAAACACTCATCAGAGGCCAAGTCCTGCCCAGACACAAGAGGGGAAGGTCCCTCACCCCCCGCTCCTTGTGGGAATGTAACTGCAATTATCAGCACAGAAAAGGTAACAGAGAGCAACTTGAACAAATTAGCAGGAAAATAACAAACACCCTTAGCTGGAGAACCAAGAGGAATCAGTGAATTTTGGCATTTTACAGCCACTGGCCAGCAGCTCTGAAGGATCATAGCTGGAGACATCAGTCCCAGCAATTCCAGATGGGACAAGTCCAACCACATTGGGAATTGAGGACACTGATTCTGAGCCTAGGATCCCCTGCCCAGGGTTTAACCAATTCTCACATTTCTGCTTTTTCCATCAGGCACCAGCATCAGGCAAAGCTTTATCCCTACTCCAGAGGCTGAGGGACATGAAAATGTAGCTAAAAGCACTTTCTGGCTATTTTTGTGTCCCCTGCAGAGCTGTGTTCACTGCTGGCAGGTAACAGAACACACCCCACCGTGAGCCTGCATGGCTGCACCACTCTTTGTTTCCAGTCATTTCTGCAAATGCCTCCTCCCAACAGACCCGGCTGTGCCGATAGGAAATGTACCTCAAAATAAACAAGTCAAGCCCAAAGTGCTCCCCCGGCTGAGGAGCTGTCACTGCTGGCTGTCAGCACATCAGGGAGCCTTTGCTCACCCTCCCTTGGGCTGTTCCAGCGTTTTCCTACAGGCGATGCCGAGGGAGTTCCACGGAGGAACCTCCCAGGAATGATTCAGTGCAGGAGCTGCAGGGCTGAAGGGGAGAGAGGGGCTGTGTGTGAGAGAGAGAAAGCAGCAGGAGGGGCAGCGCTGCTCCAACGCCAGCAGCTGCTCTCCCATTTTTATAGGAAAAGGGAAAATGCTGCCCCCTCCTCTCGGAACCGGCGTGGATTTACTGCTGCTGGAAATAGAACCTGGTGTGATTCGGGCAGGGACACGGGGGCTGGGCTGGCAGGGGGGAGAGGGGGGAAGAAAAGAATAATAGACCTTTTAATACCCTAAGAATTCTGCTTTTGAAACCAGAAAGAGAGCCTTGAAAGCTCCCCCCGAGAACCATCTGCGCCGATGCAGCCGCACAGAGCAGAAGCCTCTCCACCAGATGGGCGGGGAGGAAAAATTAAGGGTGATTTATACGGCTGCCTCGTCCCTAAACAATTTGTTCCCGAAGGCTTAACAAAGCCGGCTGCAGCAGCTCCGCCGGCTGAGCGTGTGCTGTGGAAAAGAGAATTCATTAAAAGGGCAGCCAAAGGCTCGGAGCTCGGCGCCACAAAGCGAAAGCAGCGCCGGAGTCATCCTCACCCTCATCACCCTCATCATCCTCACCATGCTCGCCGTCGGCCGCCGCGGGGTGGCAGTCCCGGTCCGGCCGGGATGCGGTGCAGCAGCGCTGGGGATGATGAGGGCTGGCTCGCTGCTGCCTTCCTCCGCAAGCTGCTGCATTATTAACCATATTAACCAGCACGGAGAGCATCCGCACGGTGCCGCGCTCGCTCGGGGAAGGAGGGGCCCCTCTCCTGCGGCTCCTGCTCAGGAATGCTCGGCTCAGAGCGGGCGGCACCGAGCACCAATGGAAATTAAATTGTCACATAGGCAAGGGAACGCGATGGTCTCGGCAGCGCCGGGGCACCCCCGCACCACACCCAAGCTCCTGGGTCTGGCTCGAGATGTTCCATTTGTCCTTTCCTCCTCCGTGCCCTGTCACAGATGTACAAAACCTCCTCGTACTGTTCCAGTCTGCCTGCAAATCAGAATTCCACCTGTTCAGCTGCTCCTGTAAGATGGGCATTTAAACCCAAACACTCAATTTCCTTATTTTCCTGGGGTTTTTTTTTCTGTTTATCAGACTGTGTTAGACACCTGTACCTCATTCCTGGAGCACAGAATGAAAGGTTTAGATCCCTCCCTGCCTTTCCACACTGGCAAAGCTGAGGAATGCCTGGCTGGGGATTTATGCAGAGATTAAAGATCAGAGCAGCTGTGGCTGCCCCTGGAAGTGTCCAAGGCCAGGTTGGATGGGGCTTGGAGCACCCTGGGAATGTGGAAGGTGTCCCTGCCCATGGCAGGAGCTGGAACAAGATGATGCTGAAAATTCAACCCAAACCATTCTGTGACTTTTGGTGTGGCAGCAATTCACACAGTGCCCAGCTGACACTTCACCCTCTCCAGAAGGGAGAACAAAGCTGGTTTTGCTCTTAGCTCTGTTCTGAAGGTTTCCTCTCCCAGGCTGTGATTCCACCCCTAGCCCAAGCTCCTGAGAGTGAGATCCAGCACGAGCAGCTCCTGCTGGAACCTCCCCACAGCAAGAGAGGGGCAGCAAAGGCCCCAGAGCTGAGCTGAGAACTCCAACACACAGACAGACTGTGCCACTGCAAGAGGAGAAGAGCACGTGAAGAGTTAATCCATGTGGGAGGTTACAAGGAACCAATACCAGCCTAGCACATACCAGGAAAATGTGTTGTTTACTTAGAGCACTGCAGAAGGGCTCAATAGCAGCAGATCCATCGCTCAAAGCTGCCCCGGCAGCGACCATTCCCAACAGATGGTACATTTTTCACCACTGAGGTTCTCTCAAGTGTCAGATATATATAAATCCACCTTTGGAAAGCAGCAGGGGGGATAAAAAACCAAACCAAAGCCAGCAACAACAAAATAAGCGCTTTTGAGAAATTCAAACTTATTCACAAGATTAAAAAAAAAAAAAAAACCAACAAAACAAAACCAAAAAGAACCAAGACCACTCTTACAGTATAAACACACCAATTCATTCATTTTTACTGATGGTTGCATTTATGAATTTCATTCTCGTGAAAAAAGGGAATAAAAGGAAAAAAATTAAGAAAATAGCTATTTATAGAAAACAAAACAAAAAAGGGCTCAAACAACAGAATCTGTGCTGATGCTTTTGGATGAGCAGTCCGATGGCATTGAACATTACCTGTGCAAGCAGGCATGCTTGAAAACCTGTCTGAGTACTGCAGCTTCAGTCCCACAATCCAGGATTTCTTTTATGGTTGTTGGAAAAAAAAGAGCCTAATAGTTTCATACTGTATTTATTTAATAACTAAAATTCACAAATAAAAAGATACTTGCAAAGTCCTTTAGTTGTCTCATCCCCTCCTCCTCCACTCTACTGCTTTCAGACCCATATGCATAAAAAAATGGGTTTGGATTTTTAATTTTAACTGTTATATGATTGGTCGTTGGAGCTGAAGCACCAAATGGAGAAGATGCTTTATGGAGATGAGGGTAGAATCCTTTGCCTTCCCACACACATTTTTGGAGGAACACGGGAGATGTACCAGTGCCCGGACTCCTCTGCTCCCATTTCCCCCACCCAGAGCATTCCTTTCATTTTATATTTCCTCTGTTAAGTGACTGACTGCAGCCTCTTTTCCCCCTTTCTGTCCTCGTGGGACTGCACACACGTTGGACATTGTTCATTTCTCACTCTCCAGGCTGTGAGTCAGTGTCAAGTAGGTCCTGTTACAGCTCAGTGCGAGTTGGTTTGTAATGGGTCTTTTCATTTCAGGTAGGTTTGTGTGTCGATTCAGAAGGCTTGAGTTGTTTCTTCCTTGTTTACATCTGACAAGCTGCTGGATAAGGCTATTCATACTCCAGGAACTGTTTGTGATAGAACAGCAAATATCTGCAAGAGAGCAGAGGGACAGTGGCAGTTCTGTGCCAAAGCAGATGAGTTTCCATTGATGCAACCATAAGACATGAGGGCTGTTAATTTTGGTTTTCTTTTCAATTTGAGGCGATTCCAGGGACACTAAGCAGGGATGAGAAGGAGGGAAGCCAGCTGACATAATTTTACCAGCAGCTCAGGGAACTGAACAGCTGTACCCAAAGAGGAATCCCATGGATGCCCTATCCCTGGAAGTGTTCAAGGCCAGGGACAGGGCTTGGAGCAACCTGGGATAGTGAAAGGTGTCCTGCCCATGGCAGGGGGTTGGAGTGAGATGAGATTTAAGTCTTTTCTTAGCCAGGCCATTCTATGATTCTATGAAAGAGTCAAACCTTGTAAAATCTACTCAGGACCTGAAAACTCTGGAAGATTGGATTCTGTTGGTGCTCAGACAGGCAGCAACCATTTAACACAAATGTGACACAAAATAAAGGTGCTTTAAGGTACAGCTGTTGCTTCAGAGTCACACTACCAGAGATCAGATCAGGATTACTGCAAACTGCCTCCCATTTACTGGAACAGAAGCAAAATGAAGCAGCAGCCATGTGGGTGAACACATGTCCCAGTCAAATATCTGATGTGTCAGTCTGCACTCACATCTGGTGTTTTAAAGGATGAAGTTCCTCCTGACCCCAACTGCTGTGTGTGTACTGGTACAGCAGGGAGCCCAGCCCCTCAGCAGTCACACAGAACAGGGGGACTGATCTCCACACAACCCTTACCCACCCTGACACAGCCTCAGAGCACTTCTGAGATGCTCCAATTGTTATAATTCCATCCAAGCCCTATGGATTCCCTCACAAGATGCAGAGCTACTGTGTCAGCCTTTATCTGAACCAGGGAAATGCATCAAAGCTCCAACCAGCCTTTATGGGCAATAGCTGTGTTGTACATCCTCTCCTCCTTGCCTCTGGCAGGTTCTTCCATGGGCATAACCCCACCTGAGCACCAGGCATGTGTTACTGAATTACAACAAACTCATTTCTCTTCTCACCTCAAAGCAGAAGTTCCCTGTCAAGTCATTTAACACTAAAATTCAGGTATTATAGATTTCTGTTTTTACTTCCCGATTGAAGTTTAAAAAAAAGGAAAAACGGGAAAATCTATTAAAAAAAATTACAACCTGAACATTGTGCCTGCAGCAATTCTCGAATATGTCATGAATAATTAAAACAAGAATGGTAAAGACTTATCTCTGCAGTACCAAGTCCATAGTGGAAAATGCAAAATGAAGAGTTTAGATTTTAAGTTGCTTTTTTCTTGGAACATACACCAGTCCCCAGTGCTTCCCTCAAATGAGGAACACCACGGTGCTTCCTTGAAAGATACTGCTCTGTCCTCCCAAAGCTTGTGTAATATAAATATCAGAAGCCATAATGTCAATCTGAGATTAATTTAAAGCCATGAGCTAAGAAACAGCTCATGTTCTCTACCTGCCTCCCATAGAGCCTTGCTATTCTGGGTCACAGCACTTCCTTAATGGATTTTCATCCAATCTTTTACACTCATCATAATCCAAAGGTTCTGCAGGCACAGACTGGATTGTGTCATAGAGGTAAGCACTGCTCCTGAACTGAGTGATCACATCACTTTGGTTTTCAGAATCCCTTCCATTAGCAGGAGTTTGGACACCAGCAGCAGTTCCAGACATTGCAGTCACCTGATGTCCCTTGTCCTTCCCCTTCCTTTCCTTCAGCAAATCCAGGGTTATAAAGCAATCATGGATAAATGAACTGTGCAGTCTCCATGCTGAAGCACTGAGCGTTACAGGCGATATTCAAGAGAGAAATTATCCTTCTCTATGATTAAAAGGGTTTTTTTAAAGTAAGGAAAATCCAACAAAGGTCAAAGTTTGCCCTCCTTTCCCCTTCCCAGGGGACCACTTACCCTTCACTGTCTAGCACATCCTTAATGCTTGCCTTGGTGATAATGGCATCATCACACTTGAACCACTGGTCCTTGTGCTGCCTGATGAAGCTGGTATAGTGCCCACTCTCCAAGGTTCCCTGGTGATTAACTACTGCAAACAAGGAATACCTGGGACAGGAAACAGACCATCAATATGTGCATCCAAAGGGGGAAAGAACACACATTTCACACAGGCAGAAACTTTTGTTCATAAGCACATGTAACAATGGTAAAGGATCTGATCCATCAGTAAAATACCAGCTCTAACACTAGCTGGGAAGAGGGTGGCCTTGCCCAGGGCAAAAAAAAAGGAAAAATTTCTCTTTTCCTGTCTTGCTATTTCTGCAACTCTCCAGTCTGGTGATCACTGTCAGCTTTACCAATACTGGCTACCAAATTTGCTTCTAAAATAGATCAATATTGGTGCATTCCTGAAGAGGAACACTGATTATCCAGTCTGACCTTCTACTTTCCTGATTTACTCTAGTGAACCAGAAAAAATGCATCTGAGGTATGGGAAGGAGGTAATCTTAGATATTTCTAATGATAAACTGCTGAACTGATTAACTGCCCTTAATCTGCAAAGCCCATACTTATTTTGAAATACTAAATATATTCAGCCTCAACTTCCAGCTCTCAGATGCTGCTGTGCATTTGCCTGAAAACTTGCAGGCCTACCTCTGTTCCAAAAAAGATACTGATAAGCAAGTTGCTCTCTTTTTTTTTTTCCCCTTCTCTTTTTTTAAAAGTGCAAGACTGAAGTCTTTGGCTCTTTTGTTCTAAGGTAAGATTTTGTTTCCAGTCTTAAATACACTAGTGGCTCTTTTTCAAGCATTTTCCACTCTATTTAACTCTTTTATAAAATGCTGCCCTCACACTTTGTGTGTGACACAAGCACAGCTACACAATGGTAAAATAATCTCTCTAATCTCGCTTGATATTGTCCTACTCAGGTTGAAAATTCACAGAACTCTTTGACACAGTGGTGCCACAACAAGGCACCTATTCACTGACTGCCTACAGAGCCACTGATTTAGAGCCACCCTCTCTAGGGGAGCCCTTGAATCCATCTGGGATGGACAGCACACTTCAGTCCCAGCTGGAGCCTTCTGACTCTGCCCCAGCTCTTCCCTGGCACCCAGATCCCTGAGGAATCCAGAAGTCTTTGCTCTCATTACCCAAATCTGCTTAATTTTTAACAATTTCTCCAAGTTAAGGCATGTGCAAACCACAAAAGTGATCAGCTGTGTTACCTTCAGACCTTTTCTAGCACTACTGAACACCCTACATCTAATGATGCAAGCTCTGGGCTCACACAACATCTGCCTGGTACCTGCCTGGTGACACCTGCTCTAAGACCAGGTTAGTTTGATTTTACATCTTTGTGTGATTCCAGCAATGAAAACTGTAATCTTATTTAACTGAACAAGTAAGGTTTGTGTGACCATTTCTATTCCCATAAAGCAAAGGATACTGGTTTCAATTACACCCCCTTTACATTCTTGAGCAAATCCCACACCAGTCCATCATTTATTCTGATTGGAATCAATATCTGCCCAATAGACCCCAGGATTACTGGGATCACCTACTCCTGACTTTGAGTGTCAGTGTTCTAATTACTTTCTTTGGTCCTCTGGAACTCCCTTTGCCATTACAATAGGAAGAGGAATATTTCAAGGCAACACCCATCCCTTGTAATAAACATTGTGACCACAGCATTTCATTTTGCCCACAGACCATTTGAGGGCATCACCCTCAGCTCTGCAGTGAGTGAAGCTTTGCTCTGCAACCTTCCAGACTTACTGTGCTGTCAGATATGGTAATGCACTGGCACTGCAGGATATAAAGCAACACTATCTCCTTCTAGAAGGCAACTACCTTTCACAATAGGAGGCATGGAATGTACCACTTACTTATTATCATTGTTTAGACTATCCGTCGGCTGCTGGTACTGCCCGTTCATTCTGCTCTCTTTACTGCAACACACACACACACAAAAATCCAGTCACTTAAAGCAGTGGCTCCCCAAACCCAGGAAATGGCTCTGACATGACACACAGCCTGTTTTCTGAATCCAGGTCCTTATTCCAGCTGAGCAGCAAAGGGCTGATTAGGATGCTAAAGATGCTTTATTTGCTCTCACAGCAGTGCTACATCACAAACACCATTTCTCCTCCTGGTCAAGGCTCCAGTGCTGCAAATACACATCTGTTTACATCAAATGTTTTATCCAAAAAGCTTCAAAACAGGTTAAGAAAAGATTTGTATTTGAAACCCAGGAAATTATCTAATTACATCAATCCTTTATCTTGTAATGGGTCAATCATCTTGGCTCTGACTTCTGAATTCATTTTGTGTTTTGACAGCAGCAATAGGATTATGCTGTTGATTTCCTAGCTGGTGAAATTCAGACTACTGAGTTATGCCTGCTGATTATCCCATCTCTATTCCATTATGCTGGATACCTTTCATCAGCAGAGCCTGTTCTATCCAGGGAGAATTCACCACAGAGGAACAAGGAAGTCTCAGAAATATATTGGAATAAACCATATATTCTTAACATAACAGTATTTAACAGAGCTTCAGGGCTCTTCTTTCTCTCTTGGTAGAAGCATCTACTTTTTTTTCCTGGGAAATAAGGAGTGCAGGCAAAGCTTGGAATTATAAGTAAAATTTCAGCATCAAACAGAGTCTCTCTGTTAAGAGATACCACAGTTTGGGGCTTTCTGCACTGCTTCAGATATAAATTAAATCTGAATATCCTCTTGCATATTTGCATGAATGTCTGACAAATACTTTTTAATTAAGCTGATTAAATTCCTTTCATAAAGGTGCATTTATATAAATGCCACGTCTTCCACAAACCTGGGAGGTGGGAGAAGTCTTGCTGTTTCTATTTTAATCTGGACTATGTTTTTGCTTCTTGCAGCATTCTCTAAACAGAACTTGAAGGTACTAAACAAAAACCCCCAGATTTGCTTATGTGCAGGAATAAAAAGGAAGGATTTTTATAACTTCAGGAATACTGGTTAGGGATTAGGCTGGCTCTGTTCTGGCCAACTGCACAGGATGGCAGGTGGGTGGGCACTGAGGGGATGGGACCAAAGCAGGGATCTGAAGGCAGGATGGATCTGGGTCTATAAATTGAACAGGCAACAGAAACATAACACACATTAATTAAAGAACCCCATCACAATGTTTAAATATAAATCCTTTTCAGGCACATGAAACTGAACAGTTTATCTAAAAATGGGTTTAGACAAGCTACACCTTCCACAGAGAAACTCATGGCAGAAGTGTCCCCACAGACACTGTTCTGTACCCTCAAGAATGCTCCATGTTTTGTGCTGCACGTGTGTGAATGGGAACCAGTTCTGCCCAGCTCTGTGGGGGGGTTTGGACTGGGAACCCACCTGGAAGCCATGAAAGGTGTCATGTCCAGCTCCAGTGGAAACGAGACATACGTAGTGATCTTCCGCCTCAGTTTGGCTGAGTGTTCAAACCGCTGCAGGCAAAGGCAAGAGGTTTCTTCTTTAGAGAAAGGGTAAATTTTATCTCTTTTATAAATGTCCTAAGCTTAGAAACAATGCCATGAAAGCACATTAGCAGTCACTATGCAGGGACAGCCCCAGAGTTTTCCTACCAGCTCTGTGGGAATGTCCATGTAAATAACAACACATTTCTTGCAGGGAAAAAAACCACCATTGGTGGGCTCAATGTTAACACAGTATTAATTAGATTATTTACCTTGATATCTATGCATACAAACCTATTCCCACCTGACATCAAAGAAAAAATATATTAAACAAGGAGAGCACACAGAGCCTTTACCCAAAGCAGTGTTCATTTGCACCAGGGCTATTCAAACCCATGGCTGCTGCCTACCCTGGCTCACAGAACTGGTGACAACAGAGTTTGCCTTCAGATTCACACTCTGAATCCACCCATCCCATCATCCCATGTGATAGGAGTCAAGCCTACACAGGAATACCCATTCAAATTAAGGCAAAAAATGGAATATGCTAACAAAAAAAGCCTTGTCCCTCAGCCAAAAGGGGCCTGCAATACCCATCACCCTCTCCTCATCTCCTTCATTGAACATTAAATTGGATCAGGAACAAACACCAGAAAGAGATGAATGAGTTTCTATATAAAGGCAGCTTCCCTCTCCATTTCTCAGAAATTCCTCTCTATTTACACTTCAAGTTAATTATTTTCCAATTGTGGTGCTGTAACAATTCCCTAGCAACAGATCCAGATGTGAAAAGCTGAGACTTTTGTAATTCTTATCTTTTGTGTTTCTCTCTTGCGTTAACACACAAAATGAAATTTGCATTTTGCATAGACAGGACAACACAATTACTTAGGGAAAGTTATTTATTTCCCAAAAAATCTTCAGTCATTTGGAATAACACAAATACTGAACTAAGTATAGGAAAGGAGTGGAGCACACTTGACTTGCCTCAGAACTTTTCCATGCTTTTTCTTCAATACAGTGGTAATCTTTCAGTGAAAGTGTAAAAATTGTACTATGTAGGATGAGGGGGTGTAAGTGGAGATTGGTTTCTGTGCTGGTTCAGGTTTTGGACCAGCCTTCCATCCTGTCTCTAGATTCAAGCTGGCTAACCTCCCCCAGACACACTGCAAAGCTACATCAGAGATAATGTAACACTATCCTAATAGAAAACCTAGCTGGCAAGGCAAGATGTTCTTTATATTCATTTATGTCATAAAAGTTTAGTCAGTGAAAGCCAGAAGACATGTCCAAGAATTCAGCTCATCCTCTCAGAGAGGAAATCACATCCTTTGCTCTGTTGGCCCCCTGTGAACTTACTTTGAGATGAAAACAGGCCACAATGGGTAACTTCTTCATAGTGAGTTGTTTGGTAGATTCTTGGTAGCTATGGCAACCACTACATTTGATTTTGGCACTGCTTCCTAGATGTTCTGGCCTTGTAAACCTAAAAAAATATTGAAAAGCAAAGGAATGCACAAAACAATCAGATGGTTTTTGACATGTGCTGGAAACGCTCTCACTTGGGGGTCACTGGCACCACAAGAGACAAGAGTCAGTGGGTTTTGTGTAATTTTGGAAAAACCTACAATCAAACCAGAATAATGTAAAGTGCCATGGCTCAGATATCCAAATGTGACATGGATCACTGCTCTGACTTGCACTGAAGTGAATCAGTGGCTGAGAAAGGAGCTCAGTGTCAGTTCATCTCCTACAGCAGAGCAGCTCATTTTCATACAGAAAGCAAAGAAAGATCTTTTGTTTTCAAACCCAAAAACATTGATATGGAAGACACTCTTCTGCAACACACTATCCTACCTTGTAGCCCTCCAGGGCTGGGATCAAAGCTCTGAGATGGAAAGGCCTGTAAACACAAAGTTCTTTGGAAAATACAGATACCCTTCTAAAAAACCTTTGTTGACAAAAATCTCTTTCAAAATTTTCAGACAGAACTGCTCAAAGGAGCCATGGGAAGAAACCATTAGGGAACAGGGAAGTGCTCACAGAAAATGGACTACCTCAATGTTCTCACTACAAACTAAAGCAAAATCCCTTTTTTCCAGAAACTCAGCACAGAAAGACCAGGACCATGGACTTTCCTTTCTCAGTCCTTTCCTCCAAGTTTAGATTTTCAAAAAGCAAATCAACCACTTCCCCAGAGGCTGCCTTTTAAGTAAGATTTTTGAGATGAAATATTTCAAAATATAGATTAAAATTTTAATTTTAAATTTCTTCATGAAATGAAGAATGTGAGGGCAACACTCACACTCAAATGTGTCAGTTTGTCCCTTACCCTCACTCTGACTATGGCCAAAGCAGCACTAAATGACATCACAGCTTCCTGACTAATTAACAAGACTTCCTTTACCTGGCCTATGTGCCATCATTCTCTGGTTTTTCTTTTTTTTTTTTTTTCTTTGTATTTGTTTAACCATTTGCATTTTGGGTATTCAATACTCATATAGATAAAAGGACCCTGTAATCACCTGTAAATTGTGGTGTGTATTTGGGAGTTATCCCACAATAAACACACACTTTCTAACTTTAAGCTGTGGGAGAGTTTTTGTCTGTCACAGTTGGATCTCAGAACTAGATCCATACCCATATTTTAATCAATCAATACCTTCTCAAGCAGTCTGTGAGGGTGGTGGTGCCCGACACGTGGCTTTCCCCGTTGACCACGCTGCCATCGCTGCCCGGACTCAGCGGCCAGAAGGGGGTGGAGGAGCCTGGCAGATCCAAACTGATGTCCCAGAACGGGTCTATCGTCGTGGAAACGCCACTGTGGGGACACAAATGGTTCCACATGTGTCATCCTCATATTTTCTGAAAAATCCCTTTGCCAGGATTTTGCTCCTGGGAAGCTGAGAAACCCCAGAGAAAAATTAAAACAATAATTATCTGATTCGCTTCTCCTGTGTTTTGCTGCTTTAGAATGTGGTTGGAGATTGTTTATTCAACATGTGAATTGTTTTGATTTAATGCCCAATCACCATCCAGCTGTGTTGGGGCTCTGGAGAGAGTCACAAGTTTTTCATGATCATCTTTTAGCCTTCTGTCTGTATCCTTTCTCTATTCTTTAGTATAGCATAGTATAGCATTCTTTAATATAATATAGATCACAAAATAATAAATTAGCCTTCTAAGAACATGGAGTCAGATTCATCATTTTCTTTCCTCCCCACGATGGGGGCCCCAGAAAATACCATACACACCCCTTTAAAGGAAGCCAAATGAAGTGCTTCTCTCTCACTTTGGGGTGCACTCCAGGTGCTTAATTTTAAGGACTTTGGGATCTCCATCACCCCTAGAGGGCACTCAGAGATGACAGAAAATAGAGCTGCTCCAGAGCGTGTGCCCACAGTGGATCGTTTCCCTGCATATTTAAAAGCTGTATGTTTGGGGAAATGTATGTGATGTATCAAAAGCAAAAGAAAAGTATTTAAGAGATTCTCCCACTCACTGGAGCCCTGAGACTCAAAGCAGAGCTGCTCTGAGACAGAGGCACTACTGACCAGTATAAACCAGTTAACATTTGTGACAACAGCTACACGCCATCCAACTAGTTGGCAAGCTAGTCTTGTCTGCTCAAGACATGGAAGATTGTGCTTGAGGCTACCTCAAAAAAGAGAAGGCTTGAAAAATACTCTTGCTGTCCAGCAGTGCACGGAATTGAGCTTTGCAGTTCCTCTCAGCATCTCCTCCAGCCTTTGGGATTTGAGAGGCCAAAGAGTAACTGCAGCAAGCAGTAGCTCGTGTTCTCCACCAGAGTTCTCTAAAGACAGCTGAAGACAAGTCAACAGCCAGACTGTGGAAAAAGCTGCTCAAAATTTTAACTGCTATTGACTCAAATCTTTTCTTCCAGCATCCATATTTTTAACAGAAGTTCAGGGGTCTAAGCTCCTTGGTGTGTTTATTTTTTGAGTTCTCTCTTCCCCTAAAACCAGTGTATTTCACTCTGCAATCTCATTAAGCCTTCAATATTCTGCCTTTTCCCTCTGCTTCATTTGTGCAAAAGTTGTCAATTTCAAAAGGAAACTTCTTTTGTCAAAGTTTCATCAATGTTAATATTGTGTCATAACAAATCAAGCTTTGCATTATCACATAAGGATTCTGTGGCTCTACCAGGCAAAGAACAAAATTTCCTATGTTTTCCTCACAGTAAATCTTTTGCAAATCCCTCCAGGAAACTGAGAATAAAAGCAGATTCAAACAAGCCCAGCCCATGTGCAGGACAGCAAGAATGTGAGGCAGAACAAAAAACAAGAACTCTGACTTCTGCACTATGGCAACACCAAACATGTCCAAAGAGAAGTCAACTTGTTCCAGTAGAGAGTAGGACAATAAATACATTTTTCCATACTCTTGTAAAGGCTTTTTTCTGGTACCTGAGATTACATTAGGCATCAGCCTCTTTGAAACCTCTCTCCTGATAATATATTAATATATGAGGCTCCTGACTGAAAGAAAATGTGGTTCTATATCGGAATTTTCTTCAAATGTATTTGCAATGATGTATTTTGAAATTCAAAGAGATCTTGGAAGTATTTTCTTTATGAACTTGGGAAAAAAAACCTTTTCCAGACGAGTAAAAGGTTTGTGTGCATAAGCCTCTAGTACTTCCCTGGCAGCTTTTTAGGTATGTCTTACTATGTGACAATTAACTGGTAATTGATTGCATTTAGCTGACAGAATGATAGAATTAGAGAATCCCAGGATGGTTTGGTTGAAGAGACCTTAAACATCATTTCATTGCAGCCCTTGCCATGGGCAGGGACACCTTGCACTAGACCAGGCTGCTCAGAGCTCCATCCAGCCTGGCACTGAACACTGCCAGGGATGGGGCAGCCACAGCTGCTCTGGGAAATCTGTGCTGGTGCCTCAGGGTGCTGCACTACCACAGTTCTTGTCCTTCTGGAGTTTTGCCAGATTTATTGGTGTTCAAGAGAGGAAAGGTTCAGGGCACTGCACTGGAGGAGTGCAGGTTTGAATCAGGATCAGGAGAAGTGACTTACTGGCAGACTTGACAGGTAACATCCGACTGCAGTCCGCCTGTGAAGATTTGGTCTATGATGCAGTTACAGTGGTTGGGGTTGTTGGCCTTCTTCCCATTATCATCACCTGCAGGAATGCAAACACAGGCTCAGAAGTCAAAAATCCTTGGAGGGAACAGTGGTTTGTCTTGGACTGTGTCTCCAGTAACTCCTTCTAACTCAAACTTACACTGCAAGTTCACAAGGATAATACAGAACCCTGCAGAAGTTGTGCACTGAAGGAAACAAGGAAACAAGATTGGAATTCCTTGAAAAATATAAGGTGACTAAATGTAGAGGTGAAGCTTTAAGCCACAGAAGTTCTTAGCCAAACCCTTGCTCAGGGTATCTCCCTTTACAGAGGTTTGCTTTGCACTGCCTGGCATAAAGATCAGCTCCTCAGACAAAGGAGTTGCCAAGGTGGTTCATGAAAATTGATATTTAAATTTCACAGCAGCAAATGGTACTTTTTGACTTCTATCCCAGTCAACTTCTGTGAGTAGAATGAGGAGAGTTTGTTAAGAGCCCTTCACCCCCAGCCCACTGCCTCCATCAATGTGCACCTTCCATAAGGTTTTTATCAGTGGGAAAATGAAAGATGTCCTTATCTGAAGGGAGGAGGTAAAGCTGTGTCCTCCTCCAGCTTCTCCAGGGGCACAGTGAGCACATTCCCATCTCTGAGGCATCACACACTGTCACTGCAGGTCCCAGGGGGAAAGTGTCATTTTTAGGACTTGAGTGCTGAGATTAGACCAATTCAACTGTCTCACAATAACCAGAGTATTAAATAACCAGAGTATTAAACACTTCTGCACACAGTTCTCAGCTTCAAAGCCCTCTCCCTCCATTCCCCAAGGTGAAGTAGGAATGACACCCTTTTCCTTGGATTCCCAGACTGTCCACTCCTTATTTTCCTTGGGTAGGACAGATGCAACTGGGCTTGCTTTGCAATCAGAGATGCACTCACCAACTACCACACAGCACCAGCTAATTATTTTTTAAAATACATCTCGAGATGTTTTTCCATCTCCTTCAACAGCAACTGCTACAACAAAATTAAGTTTGGACAGGTTTCCCAGTGTATTTAACTTACTGGGAAGTATTTGATTTCTGAAACCGAGATGCTAATATTGAAATATTGAAATACTCCTCAAATCTCTGCTACTTCTCAAAACCAATTATTTTCTACTCAAGAATGTCCAAAAAAAAACACCTGAAGAAATGAAAAGTTTCTAAAAGCAGGGCAATAGACCATTTTTATGTATTTAAGGTGCTCTAGCTGGAGTTTTCTTGTAGTAGGAACAGATAGAATTGTATTTTTTTTCCCAATGAAGTTTTAGAATTATGCTGAAAAGTATTATATAATAATCTGGCAAAGGTTCCACTGGATACTAAGTGTGGAAAAGCAGTCATAGGTGATACCTACTAAGCTGCAATGGGCCACTTGAGTTAATTAGATTCTAAATGCCTCAGGAAAGTTCTCCCTCAGCTGCCAGATTTAGGCTTTAGAAACTTTTGTTTGAATTGCCAAGAAAAGCACATTGTTTCCTTAAAACGACTCTTGAAGAAAATGCTCTAAAATTAGATTTCAAGTGTATGAGGTTCAAGTTGGGGGTTATCACACCCAGTCTGAGGTGTTTCTTGATGGGAATTTCAGCTAAATCTCACTGAACTTAAGAGCTTTTAAAGGGCTCAATTATGCTAAGCTAATGAAGAGGGCATACAGGATAGAGACTGTGCAAGGCATCCTTCACCTACAGAAAAAGCTTCACTTATACTCACAAGCATTAAAGAAAAAAAAATTCGAAATAGAATTAACTGGGTTTTAGTCAAAGCTCTACTTTTCCTTTTTAAAGAGCTACCACATGCTTGTAATCTGCCCATTTCAAACATTGTCTCTGCTTTGTTTTGAGGGGGCAGGAGGAGGAAAGCAGTGCTGAGAGCTTTTCCCTGGATCACAGGTACCATCCCAGCTGGACACCTTCAGCAGACAGGCATTTCCTCCCACAGAGAGAACTGAGCTCTCCCTTTTCAATTACACAAGTCAATTAGGATCAGTGATGAGAGGGTCTCAAATGAATATCCTGCAAGCTTGTTCCCAGCAAAACAGAAGGGTATTACCCACTCAACATTATTTCCCATGACATTTGGTTGGAGAGGAGGGAAAAAAGAGTAAGATTACCACCTACACACACTTGTCAATATGGAACAGATGCTGAGGGGAGGTATATTATGCAGCTGAGAACTAGAAGCTGCTAGATTGTTGTGCTCAAGTTAAGGTTCCCTTCAACATTTCTGTCTCCCAAATGAGGTTTTAATTTCAGATATTTTTTGGGGCTTAAATCTGGCCCAGGGAAATCAGCAGCTTTTAAGAATGGTCAGCACAGGGCTAAAAGCAAACTTAAAAATACATCAATGTACATATTAATGTGATTATGAGAATAGCTGAAAATTGAATTTAGGAGTTTGCACTCAAATTAAATGCAACTCTCAAAAAACCCCACACAGGTTACTACTGTGTCTGTGAAATAGCCAAGCATGTTAATCTATTTCAAAATAGGCATTTAATATACCACTAAAGGTAAATAATACACAGTAAAAACAGCTTAAAAATACACAACATTTTAAGACTGCTTTTGGTTTTGATATAAAAATACAAGTTTTGCCTCAATCTTTCATTCTGTATTTTAAATGAGAAATGGAAGTCAGGAATTGTCAGATTTTAAAAGAGGTATTTATCAAAACAAGACATTAATGTTAATATTTCTGCTTTGCTTTGGTCCCTGGTGTTCTGAACAAGTGCTTGTTATTTCTGACAAAGCAGTGTACACACAAATCTATATGGATCAGAGCAGATGACATGTTTCACAAGCATATGCTCTATCAATTCCTAAGAATATCATACAGAATTCACAGAGCAGGGCAGTGTTTTCCTCCCAAATCTCAGTATACCATTCTTTTTCTGGCTTCAGATTTGTTTTGGAGCACTCCTTGTTAAAGGTGAATGCAAAATGCTTCAAGAAATCCAAATAAACGAGGAATAATCAGCTTTAAGGTACTACTCTCCCTTTTTTAAAACTACTGAATCAAGTTTGGGATAAAAACACAGATTACTTCTATTTTTTTATCTTGCTTTTTGAACCTTTGTGTACTAGTGCCCATCTCTGCCACTTGAGTGCTGTTGCTTCTGCAATGAGTACAGAAACCCCCACAGCAGTGCTGCCACTGGACAGAACAGTAATTTTTGACTTGCAGTATTGATCCTTTTAAGAGAACAATAATTCAGGTCTAAGTTTCCCCAAGCTTGAACATATCTGAGACAAAGGTGGGAAACTGAAAAGTGTCTGCATGATTGGGAGCTCACTGGTGTGGAAGTTTGCAGAATCAGAACCCCAAATTTATCCCAAGCACTGGGGATAGAGATGCATCTGTCATGTTGACTAAAAGCTCACTTAATGCTTCACAGCCTGGGCAGAAATACAGATTATTTACACTATTTTTTCCACTAAAATACTACTTTCCAGTTAGATCACCTGCCTCCAGCTGTTGAAATGAAAAAGTGATGCACAGGCAAGATGCACTTGTCCCCTTTTATTCAGAAATATATTTTTTATTGCTCCAGCAGCACAGAGGAGCCCATTGAGGGTTTAGAATGTGCCCTGCCCAGATGCCACAGCTCAACCCAACAGTGCCAGCACATCTATCACCCCTCAGACAGGATTTACATGGACAGCAGACAGGTATCCTGGCCTTCCAAAACTCCACAGATGCCACTAAAACAAAGTATAGATTCAACCAGCATTTAAAACACCAACCAAATCAAAACAAAATTGCCTGGGCTGGCCTGCCCACATAATCATCTCAGGGCAGTTGTAGGATTACAAAATGTATCTTTAAATGGACATCAAAATCAGGTATTTTTCTTAATTTAGTCAGTGAAAAAATCAACAAATATTCACAGCTTTGTCTTCACTTGCACTAAGAGATTTCCTAGACAGCTGAGTACACAGAATGGAAAAGGATAAATGACTAATGGCAGCCAAACAAACATCACTGGATATTTATACCTAAGGAATACTTTCATTTACTTTGGTGCCTGAAGCCTTGGTGATCATGAATAATGGCCAAAAACTGGAGCAGAATTTCCCCCATGACTTTATTTTATTTCACCGTGTGTTAATTGTAAAACTTCATTACTATTGACTGGAAGCTTTTAAAGCTTTTTTCGTTCATTAAAATAAATATTTAATATTGGCAGAGGAGGCATTATTTGCTTATTGTAGCTGTAGGACATATTCTCACTATTAGTAATAATATTTTTACATCTGCACACTTCACATGCAAGTGTGTCTGTGTGGATACACAAGTGGGAAAACTTTCTCATTACACTGAAAACTAGTTCATTCCAAATGTGGTTTTGCATGACTATACTTGAAATTCTGTTTTAGATTAACTTGTTTGGTTCCCACACAACTGCTCAACCGCTTATTTTAAATTACCTTGATGTGGTATAGATTATTTACTATGATTTAATAAAAGACTCTCTATTTCTTCAGAAACAGAAATTAGAAGAGATATCAAGGAAGATTCTTAAAGTCAAACCACTTTTTTTTTCTTAAGTCTTTTCAGATTCTTTATCAGTTTGAGAAGAGCTCAGGGACCATTACTATTCCAAGTTTTTCTTTTTACAATTCTGAGACACAAATACTCCTTCATTAATTAATGAGGATGCGTAGAAGAAATATGAGCATTATCTTATATCAGAGATGATGAAAAAACTTCAAGATTTGTTAGATCAATGGTTCAAAAATTTAACATGAACAAAGAAGTGCTTCTGTTTGCAGCTGAATTTATTCAGAGTTAAGAAGTCAATATTTGGTTAGATTTTGTTCCTTACTGGACTTCCACACCAGTTTAATTTGGATTATTGAAATCCAGTTAGTGGTTGTCAAATGACAGACATTAATAACTAAAAGGAACTGCTCTGTGTGTTCCTGTCCTTAGCAATACTTTTTTTGGAGAAGATTCTTTTGGAGGCACCAATTATGGATGTGAACAAGCCCATCTGCTGCCATGCAGGGCTAGCTCAGAGATAAAAGCAAGATTCACAATGGTTCAGAGACGCAGCAGCAGCCTTCCCTTGGACAGTCCTCTGATAAGCCAAAAAACTAAACCCTAAGTGCTTTTCCTTGAGCAAAGCTGAGTGCTTAAATCTTCTTTTTGATAACCAAGGACTTTTTGTTTGTTCTGTTAGCATCAACTCTTCTGCCTTCCCTTGGAGGAATAGTAAAAATTTCACTGGTGCAGTAAGTGAATCAAGTTAGAGCAAACATCGGCGGATTGGGAAATTTTCAGTTCAGCTAACAAACAGAAAATACATAATTTCATATGATATTACAAAATCAAGACTTAGATACTTCACATCAAAAAGCACGATACTGAATAGTTTTATTGTATTGTACAATTACGTATTGTTCTATACAGACTAATAAAACAAGATACCACAGCCACCCATTGCTCTTCCTTATTCACATTTCTGTAAGCAATTTGGTATCAGAAATACAACAGAATCATATTTAAGCAGAATAATAGTATTAAGTATTAAGACATAACCTCTACCCTACGTTATTTTCATCAGTCCCATGACACACTGAGTAAGAGTTGTTCTAACTACTGAAAGTATAAATAGAATTAAAATGGCAATTTAAAAGAAAAGACAGTGACTCACAACCAATAAGAGAACATCAAGATGGTGATTCAAACCAATGTACAGACTTGTCTGCTTCTAACTCTTGGTACTTTTTGACAGTGGGGATGGTTTATTTATTTCTAAATATTTGAAGTCTACCGAACATTTTTAAAGGAATTTGCTAAGAGTGCTGCACTGGCACTAGACTTGGTTTAAGAAGAGATGGTTCTACCTCCTTTGGATGCAATAATCCTTGTTGACTGGAGCCTCAGGACAAGCCTTACCTTTGCAGTGTCTGTGTAGCACATCTAATGCAGCAATGAGGAACTCGTGTGCATCTTGTTGCTCGTACCCTGCTAAATGCCGTGCGTGAGTCCATACCAGGTGCAATAACCTATATGGAATGTGAGGAGATCGGTGCCCAGAGTAAAACTGCTCAAAGCAAAGAGAAGGACATGACTGTTAACAGCTTGCACAGCCTCAGTGCATTGCATTATTAAAAAGTCAAATGAGAGCAATTAGTCAAATCAATTTAAACAGTTTAATTCTGATGGCCTTAATAATAAAGGAGAGAGACAACTTTTGTCACAGACTACTGGAGAAGTGATCTCAGAACTGAGCAGCTCAGTTTTCTCCCCTGAAATTCCATCAATTTGTGATGGATTAGCCTGAAAAATGTGGGGGTGCAGGGACTGGGGTAGGCAGACACAAACATCACTCACAATTTGCTTACTGATACCACTGACTTTTATTAAAATAGCCTGGGGAGGAAGGAAAGGAAAAAAAATCCTGCATTTGAAAAGGATCACCAATTTAATTCATAAATTAGGTGAATGAAATGCCTCCTCCCATATCAGAACAAACACTGAAGATGAGAATATTAGATGCTGACTGTCAGCCAATCCCTGACCCGTGGCAACTCTGCATCCAAATGCTGTGCACACTCCAATTTTATGGAAAAATTTCTAAGCAGGGCAGCAGCCTCATGCCAGTACTGGCCTTTTACTGTAAAAGGCTTTAAAAACAACTTTATTGAGCCAGCTGTTTGCAGAGCTGAAGGTCCCCATTCAGTCAGTGATCCCCAAAGCCAGCTGCCATCCCTGCTCCAGCAGGGTGTCCCCTGCCTGGGAATCTGGTGCTGGACCAGCTCCTGCATCTGCTCCAGTCAAAATCTGATGAGCTGGCTCCAGAGTGACTAAAACTGCCCCAGGTGATTCTGCCAGAAGCACATTAGAGACTGCACAGATGAATTATTCAGTCAGCACAGCCTGATGTCAAACACTGCTGCTGCTGCTGGGGGTGACACAGCTGGGGAGGGAAATCAGCACAGGCAGGAGGACACTGCCCACAGAAACTTTTTAAAATTAAAAACTAGCCAGGTCCCAAATGAAAAAACCCAAACAAACAAAAAAAACCCCAACCAACCCACCCCAAAAAAGCATGCCAAAAAAAGCCACCCATGCTAAGGGTCTGTGTTTCCCTGGGTTGAGTTCAGCCCTTCCTATACCCCTGTACAGTAACACCAGTTCCAAAAGCAAAGCAGGGATGCTCGTGGTATCCCTACAGGAGTCAGAAAAGGCCCAGAGGAGTTTATTCACTTGACAGAGTAACATTTTGTTTTTAAGAAGTGAACATTTGTGAGTCATTTTGCCTTCCCTCACCTTCAGCAAAGGTATCTGCCAGTAAAGGCTGCCTGCAACACCACAATTATGTTTTCCCAAGATCCTATCAAATCCATGGCAGTTTCTTTTCAGTTCCTCTTCCCAAACAGAAGACAGTAAGGGGCAAATACACAGAACAAAAAACAAGATTTAAACCCCCAGCAGTATATAATTCTCATCCTTATTGGAAAAGTGAGCTTCCTTCCCCAGCCCTGAGTTTCTCTCTGCACAGTCTCTGAGCATTTTATGTAAATCCAAGCACAGGCACTGTGCTACAAACCTGCTGAGAGAAAACACTGTATTTTAAGGGACAAGTTGGCAAAAGGCAGCACAATCTTCATCTAATCCTTATATTGGTAGTGTTTCCTACATGATTTTAGTGTATTTCCTCCCACAGAAATTTCTTCCTCACAATCTCCACTTTTCCCTACCAAGAAGCTGCACCTCTGCAGCCAAACACCACAAAATGCTCCTATAAATACAAAGATCAATAGTTACTCTGATGCCAACAAGGATGACACTGAGGGCCTGGAGCAGGAGTGTGGTAATTGAAATCTGCTGATGCAGCTGCTGCTCAACATAATTCAGGGAACTGCAGCAATAAAACTTCCCTGTTCTGTCACTCCTTACAATTAGTCCCAGAGCTCTCTGGTCATTTTAACCACCAGCACTCCATGTAATTACTCCACTGCAGACACAAGGCCTGCCAGCAGATTTTACATTCTCTGCTGCCTCAGTAGGATGAGAAGGATCTGACATGAAGCTTTATCAAATTATTAACTATTATCACACAAAAAACTAGAAACCTGCCTGGTAGGAATGTGGAGTGGGGGAAAAGCTTCACTGCTCAAATAAGTATTAAATATAACAAAGAATCTGAGCACATTCAATAACAATATTTTAACTGGAATGTATAAAACATCCATCCCATCTCTGTCATTTCCTTGCTGCTGGGAAAAGCAGCCTATCAGAGCAGTTCCAGTCCACAAAAAGGAAAAGAGTCCATGTAAAGTTTTATTCCAACCTTTTCACTGAAGTGTGCAAATATAAACAATGATGTACTTGCAAGTCACCTTTAAAACACAGCTGTTAAACAACTGTTAACTGTTCCAAACATAATTTAAACTTTTTTTTTTTGTTTAAATTTGTTTTCAATTCAGCAGTATCAGTTGTTTATATTGGAGAGAACTGGTTTGAGCAATTTCAAAGTGCTGGGTAATACACTGCTTAATTGCTATTCCAGGAAAAAAAAGGAGGGGGGAGAAAGGAACAAACCAACCAGGATTCTAAGCCTCCATTCTTACACAGCCCAAGTAAAACTAATTTCATTTTTCCACTTGAAACACTTGCTGTTGCATTCTAGAAAGAATCTATGGAGGATTTAGAAGACTATAGGCTTTGTAATTTGCATTATTGTTACAAAAAACATACAGAAAACAGTGAGGTTTTAAACAAAACAAGACCCCACTGTACACATCTGTACTTATTTCTCCTCCTCCTGCCAAAAACATGCACAGAAGTTTCTCAATTATGTGAATGAACAGATTTATAAATTTGATTTATCCTCCACATGTATCTCCTGAACAGTCTCTGAGCTTTGTAATTATGAGTTTATTGGCAGAAATCCTGTACCAGGTTCAAGTCCAATTTGAGAATTCAAAAACTACTCTTGGAAATTGGTTCTCAGTAAAGACTTCAAATTTTCTGGCAATTTACAATGGATGAAAGGACTGGGCAACACATGGAACACATGCAGGAGAACACCTTCTGGAGGCTTCCCAAAGAACAATGGTTCAAAGAATCACAAAATACATTTTGCTTGCATGAACTCTGTATGTTCTACACTCATTTCAGGGGAAAGTACCAAATTTTACTAAACCAGCACAAGCTCTGTATTTTCCATGACAAAATGCAAGGCTTCTGTCTATGTAAAGAGCCTTAACTGCATTTTTCTCCCCTCTAGTACCTTTGTTGTAACTTATTTTATACATAAGTCACTTCCACAGTATCATCTTCAGATATCAAAGCCATAAATCATCTCCTCCTTTTCCCTCTTGGTCCTCACTTCTCAACTCTTCCCATGCTTGTGCTGTGTGCTGTGCTAGGCTCACAGGGATGAGTAATGATGGGGAAAAGGCAGGGTTTGTTCCTTCCACCTCTGAGTGGATGCACTGCATTCTGCTCCTCTCCCATTCCTGCTATCCCAGTCACAGAGCATGTGAGACACAGATCTACTCCCACCTTCCTCAGTGGTCATTCTGGAAAGGATTTAGGGTGTGGACCAACCTCACACAAACACCAGCAGGCAAAAAGGAGTGCACCAACCCAACCCTTTCAGCCAAAAGGCTCAGTGAATGGATTGTGTGTGTTCCATCTTCCCCCTGCCCAGCCTCACCACTATCTGTTACTCCCAAATCCTTTTCATTCCTTTTCTTATGCAGTGTAAGTCATGTCATGATTTTATTGAGAAATGGGTTTCATGTAGCACAAAGAAGAATGTTAATTGATGCAGTCAGATATTTTTAAAACAAACAGAGCTCAATGCTTGGTGTGTCTGCCAGAAAAGCTACCAGGAAAAAAACACCTCAGTCCTGAGAACCATCTGACAGTCATTACTCACCACCAACCTACTTCAAGGTGGAAGAACTTTGTAGCTTCCTATTTATCACAGAGAAATCACTCAACCTATATAACTACATGATCTTAAACAAAAAAGAAATAAAGTGGGATGGGTAACTTCTGTTTAAGAGGCAAAAGAGCAAAACTTGCTTATTTATATATAGTAAGTTTTATTTAATGTTCAAAACAGTCTCTCTTTTCCTCCCTGAGAGCTCCCACTCAGGCACTCTCCAGATCCCCTGGCATTCCATTTGCCTAAGATCACACCTTCAGAAAAGAAGGGTGGAGGGGAGATGAAATTAACCCTTGCCCTGATTGTTTGTCCCTGGGTAAGATGCTTTGGGATAACCACACCAGTTAATCCTGGTGGGAAAGCTATGTAGAAACAAGACAGAACCTGAATCAAAGTTTCCCTGGTAATTCAATTACAAAGGAATTCTCAGCCATAGCACTGAGATCTCCTGGTTTGCCTTCCTTTGCTCAGACCTCAGCTCTGCAAAGGCAGTGACAGAATCTTCACTTCAACCACTGCATAGAGCTGGGACATGAAACATAACCAGTCTGCTCCAAAAATGGCAAGATTTTTGTTTTAATTCTGAATGCAAAGAAATTAAAACTCACTGGGAACAGAACTGTACAATGGGTGCTGACAGAGCCAGAAGCACAACAAGGTATTTACTGCTTTTGAGTTTAAATATACCAAGTTGGTTACAGACCCAACAGCTTTGCTTAGGAGGATTAAGCTCCAGTTTTACTTCTAGGAGGTTGAGTCACTTTCTGTGTCCTCCCACAGCACATGGCTGCAGTATTTAATGTGAAATAAGGACAGGGACTATTGCTGTCTGCACAGTCTGGTGTCACAGATATGGCTGTTCCCTCATCCATACACCCTCATGTTGCAGAACATTTAATTAATAGAACTAATGCAAGTGTAGGCATGAATTTTGACTTGAAAATGAAGGCTGAGCTTCCCAAAGTTGTGTATGAAATTAAACTTGATTACAATTGAAACTAACACAATAACACAAATGCTGTGTTTAAGCCCCATTTTGGGTAACAGCCTGTTCTTTGTTCCATACTCACAGTAGAGCAAAAGGCATCCTGAGCCATCAACAGGGCTCCACACACAAAAATGGAAACAAAAATCATTACCTAGAGAGCCTTGATCTTTCCTGCAGCCTCTCAATCTGTAATGTAACACTCATTTCCCCTTTCCCAAGGGATTTTAAAAAAAATGCATGTGTAAATAGAGTGTGGTGATGTTCAGCAGTGTGAGACTTTATATCACTATTTGATGAAAGGATAGCAAGAATATAATAGTTCCTTATTTTTAAAGAAGGAAATAAGTTTCTCTATTAACGGTCTACAGAAACTGGTATTTCTATACCATGACTGATTTTTTTATCTAGGCATTGTGATATTTCCCCACTTAACTGCACATCTGGTTTCAATAATCCTACAGCTGCTACCTATTGGTCTGCCTGCCTTTTGTTTTTCCCTCCTTTCCTGACAGACTCAGAACAATTGAAAAATAGAAAACAAAAAATAAGAAATGTAATATACAGCTAATGATTGATTAGCAGAATGAAATGTTGCAAATCCTCAGAAGTCTTGAGTATAAGCAGAAAACAACTTTGTACTGGAACAACTAAAGGGGCTTTACCTTCTTTTATGTATCTTTAACTCACCTGCAGTGACCAAAAAGAATCATCTCTGGTGAAAAAGGCACCGGAGTAAAATCAAATTGAAAATCACAAGATAAAGGGAAAGCTATTTTAGGTTGGTCCCTGTCAGAATCAACTTCCATGACAGCACATCCACAGAAAACCTGCTCTGTGTACAGACATCTCCAGCAATTTTAAATGCTCCATGACAGCATGTACACTAAGCTCTTTCTGGTTTTTTGGTTGGTTTTATTTTACTTACCAAGAAAGCAGATCTACCACTGAGAGAAAGGCACAAAACTGGGTTTGTTTTGGAAGACATCTTAAAACTAGGAGCCCATGTCCACCCACAGTCCTTACAATACTGATGTGGAATTATGATAGATAATAAAGCTCTTGGACCATTTATTAAGGAAAAGCCTGTGCTTGTCTCACACAGCAGGAACCAGACCTACAGAAAAGACACACTGCAAACAAAGCAAGGCTCCTGAGTGGGAAAGGGAGAGAAGTGCAGCTTGTACAGGGAAGACACAAACTGTAGCAACACATTCACTTCTCTTTATCCTCCTTCCTGGCCCTTACTGGGTTGGCATGTAAGAGATGACAGAAAAGATGTTTCTGCTGGTGAACAAGCACTAAATTGAGATCTTTAAAATATTCATACAGACCTACATAATCCAGTACCTTAAACCACAAGGATGTATACTACTGCTTTATTCTCACTCCCATTATCACCTGAAGAGCTCATGACATATTTTCCAGTTACAACTTGCACCTTTAATTAAAGCACACATTCATCTTTAAGACTAAGGATTCCCAGATCAGTCTCAGAAGAACAGGCAGCACTGTAATTATTTCCAATACCAGCTTTGCCTAAACAAGGGTGACTTCACAATAGGACTTAAAAGCCATTAGTTTCCCTTTCAGCAGCTGGGTATTTTTGACAGCCAGGTCTCAATCTTTACAGCTCTGTTCTGCTACATTTTGAGGGGAAATAAGACTTGCATTCCCTTTATATTTGCAAATAGAACACAATTCCTTTTGGGGTAAGAAACAGCATCTGTAGCAAGGTGATGCTTTGTGGCAAACAGCACTCACCTCCTGAAAGAGCGTAGACATTTCACAGACCAGACATGAGCTGGGGCTTTGCATTTCACATTTGTGCCTGTCGGAGAGGAAGAAATCTCGCAGCAGTGGAGTGTGGGTAAGTGCCTGGACAATACAGTTCATAAAACATGTGTTCCCAAGATTGATTAGCCCTCGTAGACCTATAAAGACAGAAAGGGGGAGGGGATGCATAAGCATTAGCAAGTTAAAAAAACGGTAGATTTGCATTTTTATGTAGTTTTCACAATATTGCCATGGATTTACTGTATTACATGCACAGCTCCAAATACAGTTTTATACTGGTTCAGGGAGGCTATTGGTAATTTTGTACTCAAGTCACAAGAAGCTGCAGAAGCTTTCTGAACTACACTAGGATTTTTTAAATTCTAAGAAATAAGGAAACCTAGAAGTTCAGCAACACCAATACCATTATTTTGCAATGGCTGTTGTGCCACATGTCACCAAAATATGTCCCTCCCCAAGACTGATACCGAAGTGCAATGACAACAACTGCTAAGTCAGTACAGTAAGAAACCAATACATTTAAAGACATCAGTGAGTAAGTTTTCAGATTGCTTAAAAAGCTTTCCCCCATGCAGGTCATGAAGCCAGAACAAGGTTCTTGTACTGTTATAATCATCATCTTTCTAATACAGGCAGCAAAGGAGCAGCCCTGTATTGAATGTATTGAATGAAACAGCAACCAAGTCAGGCTGTGATATCCAATGCAGACTTCTGAGATTTTAAACCCAAGATCTGAACAGAACAACTTTCAAAAAAGAAACTCTGAACAACACTAATTCCACACTCTTTTTAGGTAAATTAAACATTAATCTACAGCATACATCAAAAAATTCAACTTGGCATAAGAGGATTCATCACACCTTAAGTCAAACCTTCAGTAATGCCCAGAGACGATTCCTTGTGCTTGAAAACCAAGATGCTTAAAGGAAAGCTCTTTTGTTGCACAACAGAAGAGAGGTTAGGAGTGGGGAAAGCTTTTCAGTCATTTTGCAAGGTCTAAGTGAGAAGAAAAACATGCTCAAATCCTTGAGTATTCTTCCAAAATATTAACATAATACCACCATACAGGAGCACTAAACAAGAAGAGCATCAGGTGGCCAAGAATGCTTATTTTTAATCAACAACTTACTTTGAAATGAGATAAAATGCACCGATAGATACAACTCTGGTATTGATTTAAAATCAACACAGTCCTCTTCTGCAATAAAAATAGGATTACTACAGCAACATTGAAAGAAATCACAACAGGATTACTAGTCACAGAACGAGGAATTTCCTTGTTATTCCATGGGATGAAAGAACCTCTCAGCTGGCAGTGCTGTGGCAATTAGAAGTGGTGCAGTTCCCGTGCAGTACAGCAGATAGTGCTCCAAGGGCTCTTTAGCATCCTGCAGCAGGAGGGGGTGTGGTCCAGTTGCTATGTTACCACTGAGAACAGGCACCACAGCAGCTTGGACTGCACCCGGAGCTGAAGGCAGGAACACAGAGCACTCCTGGATCCTTTTTCCTGTATCTAAAACAGCATCGACCTGCTTCCAACAGCTTCCTGTTCCCTCTGTGTACTCACAGGAAAAAGTTTCTCATTATATTACAGTGACTTCTACTGGGCAGAAGCTTGTTGCAATTATTTGCTTGATTCTCATGCTGGGAGGCAATAAGTGTGTGCACAACATTAGCAGAGTGTTAAATAGTTAATTTGTTGGAGCAGCTTGAAATACTGTGTGATGCTTCAGCTTGGTCCACAATCCTATTTCAATTCCCAGTCTGTGTCTCTGCAAACAATGTCACAACAGGAGGGGGGTCGTGCTGTGCAAGTGGAGAAACATTTTGGTACCTCTTGCCTACCTCTCCCCTCATTTTCTGCCATTTAAAATTGACTGGATTTATTCAAATCAAGGCTGTGCTCACAGGAGGTTGGAAGGCTCCCTGACATGCATTTTGAGAAGCAGAAGATTCTATTCCCTCCCTATTTCTCCCTCTGGTTAGCACCAGATTTCAAAGCCAGCCTGTTCAGCACAGAAAACTAGAGGAAAACCAGTAGGAAATCTAGAGATTCCCCCTAGCACTTTTTGGTGTCTAATAGAGCAGTCACAAAAGCAAACACATAAAGGCAGCTTTTTGGAATCATTTATTAAGCATCATTTATTACATGCCTGTGGCTGGACCGTCTTTCCCTGTGACCACAAGAATCAAATCTTCCTTTAAGTTGCCACCAGGAGACAGTTTCAGGCATCAAACTCAGAATGTTCTTGGCTTACTCTGCTTGCTTGGTCTTTGCTGTCAGTTTTTCATGGATCTAAATGGAGCAATTCATGTGCTGGGACTTCAACTGAATGAACCAAGACAAAGCAACCTGCAAAACAGACAAGACTGAAATGTGAATACTCCAAACCCCAATAAAAATCAGAAAATGGTGATTTGTAGCAAAACATGAGAACTTACTCAGTTGAAAAGAGAAAAAGGAAAGCAGCACACATCAGTCTTATCCTTGTGGGAGCAATGACTGCTGTACAGTCTCTTAAACTGGTATTTGAAATGAAACAGGTATGAGGAACTACAGCTCAGGTACTGCATAAGTAATTGCAGCACACTGGAAAACATCAGAATTTGATGTAGGTAAACTTAAGAGCTGACAGAACTCAGAACAACACATCCTCTTGTGCTTAACTTTTATGGGGAATAATGAGTTTTGTTGGAAAGAAAAACAGCTAAAAATTAAAGCCTGTACAGCACTCTGGTCAATAACATACTGAGAATGTAAAAGCTTTGTGCCTGCCACACCTATTCCCTCCCCTTTAATAAAGCCTGGCATGGTTTTGCTGGAACAGTCAAGCATTGCAACATGTGGGTCATAAATTAACAGAAAAATAATGTGCCAAAACCTCACATGCAGCAGTCCATTCATGCTAGAGCACCAACAGTGGTCTCCACCAGGCTCTAATCAGAACACAGTGTCACAGTCTAATAACAAAGCTCTGGGACTTTGCAAACTTCTGCTGTGCTTCACAGCACTGTCTTTATTTTTGTTTCTTATGAATTGTTTTGAAATGAGCAAGGGCAACCTGTGAGATAGTTAATATTTTCTACACATGCATGTGTGTTGTTGTGGTAAACGTATTTCACAGGAAAGAAGTTTTAGCTCTGAACCATGCTGATACAATTGTAAATATTGGAATCAATTAATGTTGCTGAGAAGACAAAATTGTCATGTATGGTATAATCATAAAAGAAGGAAATATCCTTTAATCATCATGCATGGAATACAAACACTCCTCTCATTCTGACAAAAGCTGGGCAGGCAGGGCATAAGCAAAGGCAAGAAATCTACTTTTGCAATGCCTTGGGCACAGGGAAACCTATCTGGGAAATTCTGTACATTTGGTCTCAAGACTGGGCTCTGGCTGGGTTCTTACCTTTGTCAGCTTCAATTCTTCCATCTTCTTCCAGGAGTGGGTTCTGTTCTTCCACTGCTCAAAGCAATAGATCTGCAACACTGGGCAACAATGGTTGCTGGGATGCAGGGAGATCCAGAGCACTGGTCCTGCCAGTACACCCACGCAGGGGAGATGAAAAATCCAAGACAAGATAAGGAAATTCCACTTCTCCATGAAATGCAACTCTACAGCTATTAGAGGTGGGGAAGCAGGGAAATGAGAGGACCACACATGAATATCAAATACAGAAAACCCAATCTTGCCCTCATTGAGGAGGTTCTGTTTGCCTCTAAACCCAGGCTTGGGCTGGGACTGGAAAGAGCAAACAAACCAGTCTGAACAGATGTTCCCATGCAGAAACCTGGGATTTAGTGGAATGAAGGTTCTGTAAGGAAGAGCAGCAGTCAGTGGACAATGCACCTTGGTGAGACAACCAGGAGATGATTCAGATGCACCCAAGCACAGCCAGCCTGAGATCCTCTCTACAGGAAGCCCAGGTTGGCAACACCTTAGAGCAATCCTTGTCCCCTACCCCCAGCTCTCCATCTGGTGTTGATGCTTCCCTGCAGCTCCATCAGACAGTGTCACAAGTCAGTGCAAGCTGAGGAAGAGCTCACTGAAATATTTAAAGGCAGTTCAACATCACACTTGGAAACAAACAGTGCAGCACAGCAGTGAAGATTTCTAGAATAATTTTGGGTATTCATCCCATGTCCATCCAACAAGAGCTGGCAACAACATTTAAGAGCATCTTTCTGAAAGTATTTCAGAAGAGGATGACCCTACTTCCCAGCACGTACAACTACAACCAAATTCTCTCAGCTCTCAGGTTTTGGCTGTAGAACACATCACACATGACCTGAATGGAGCTGCCACAAACACTGGCCCAGTCAGACCCAGAGCTGCTGTTCCACCTGCGTGCCTGGAGCAGCAGTTTTGCTAATGGGGTTAGTGACAGCAATTATTTTCCAAAGCTAATCCCTTCTGAAATGTTAATACAAAAATACTCATTTCAGAAAGCAGCAGTATACAGATATGTGAAATTACAAGTCTACACAGGAAAACTCATCACATTCTGTGACACCAATGATCATGTGAGTACCAAAAAAGCCCCAGCCATGCAGTTTGGTCAATTTATTCCCCAACACTTCAGCTAAGCATCCTTCCTCAGGGACTGAAACCCACAGTAAAAAGGAACACTGAGGCAAATGAATGATAACTTTTTCTTTGGATGTTCTTACAGAACATTTTTTACAAACTTACCAATAACACATTTGGGTATTAAATTCTTTTGACAACTGTTTAAGAAAAAGCTACAGAAACTTTTGCCACAGCCAAATTGAATGAAGAAATTTCAACCACATGATCTTAAAAACTAACTGAACAATTCAACTACTTCCAGCAACACAGAACATGCAATCTACTCAGAAAGAAAAATATCATCTTGGTAGGGAGAAGAGGAAGCAGAAAATATTGGTTCATCAGTAGATCTTTTTTTCAATAGAGTAGTTTTGACAGCAATACCAAACAAGGGATTACATGACAGATGAAAGAAGTGGAGATGAACACTCAGGGCAATAATCTTCCCTTGTTGGGTTACTGCTGAACCAGGTGAAAACATGCTCATGGCTCCCTCTTTTTTATTTTTCTGACTTGACTCCTTTTCTCCAGCTATTCAGGGCTGCCAGGTCAGTCACTGCTCA